TAAATAACTGTAATTTAAAAAATATTTGCGTGTGTGTGTGTGTGTGTGTGTGTGTGTGTGTGTGCGCGCGCGCGCGCGCGCGCGCGCGACTCGCATGTATAATGTGTGTTCTGGGTACCCCCAGAAGCTAGAACCACTAGATATGGGTGCGGGGATCTGACCTTTAGCCAAGCTCTGGAAGCAAGCATTTTTAAGTATTGACCCATCTCTCCATCCCCTGTAAAATTATCTCTAAAAACACCTACTAGAGGGGTTGGAGAGATAGCTCAGTGGTTAAGAACACTGGCTGCTCTTCCAGAGAACCGAGTTTCAATTCCCAGCACCCACAAGGCAGCTCACAACCATCCATAACTCCAGGCAATCCATCTCTTTATTTTGACCACCACAGGTACCAGGCATGCATGTGATACACAGACAGACAGACAAAACCTCCACACACATAAAATAAAATTAATAATTTTGAGGTTTTGTTTTCTTGTTTTTGTTTGTTTGTTTGTTTGATATTTTTTTTTTGAGGCAGGATTTCTTCGTCAAACTGTCGTGGCTGACCTAGAACTCATTTTGTAGGCCAGGTTGACCTCAGACTCAGAGATCTGCCTCTGCCTCTGCCTCCTGAGTGCTGGGATTAAAGGCGTGCACCACTACTACCCAGCTTGGTTTTTTTTTTTTTGTTGTTGCTTGTTTGCTTTTTTTTGCTTTTTTTTTTTTTTGCCTTTTTTTGCTTTTTTAGGCAAGGGCCTATGTAACTTTGATTATCCTAGAACTCTATATAGACCTGATTCACAGGGATCTGCCTGCTTCTGCCTCCTGGGTGTTAGGCTTAAAGGCATGCATCACCATGCAAAGCTTTAAATTAATAAAAAAAAAATAGTAGGGCTAGGAAGAAGGCTCTGTGGAGAAAGCGCTTACTGTGTAAGTATGGGAACCACAGTTCAGATCCCCAGGGCCCATGGAAAGAGCTAGGCAGATCAGTGACCTACCTGTGAGCCCATCACAGAGAAGACATCCCACACTGTGATGTCCTCTCCAAAGCAAGCTAACTGGACTTTATTTACCTGCCTCAGTAAATAAAGTAGAGAACAATCAAGTAAGATACACAATATCAATCTCTGGTCCACATATGTATACATGTGCATGTTCACTCCCTATGTACACACATACACATATGCAAAATATTTTAAAAACTATCAGACAAAATGCCAGACATACCTTACTCATGGGCAGGAAGATCACAGGTTTGAGGTCACCCTGGGCTACACATTGAGACTCTCTCAAAAACAAAAACAAAAAAAACAAAAAACAAAAAACAAAACCACAAATGATAAAAAGCCCAAACAACAAAAATTAAAAGCCCAATATTCAATCAATGTAATCTACCATATCTATCAAGCTAATGAAGGAAAATGATATAATCGTATACTTAAAAAATTTCAGCACTCAGTTATGGTTAAAAAAATTAAGCAAACTATGACTAGATAGATAAATGCTGCCAATCAGGCAGGAAAAGGAATAAAAATCATATGATTGGAAAGGAGATAAAACAATTTCCATTTCCAAACAACACAAATTTCTTTCTTTTTTTTTTACAATTACATTTATTGTTAGCAAGTGCCTTACTCACTGAGCCATTTGACAAGTCCAATAACATAATTTTTTATAGAGAAATTTCCAAAGTACCTGCCAAAAGACTCATAGAACCAATAACTGAGTTCGGTAGGTCACAGGCTATTAAGATGAACACACAAACATCAATCGCATTTCTATGTTATACTGGCAGTGAACAATGAACAAAATGTCAATGGGCTCTACATGCTGAAAATTCCAAAATGGAAAGATGGAAATCATCATGCTAAAGGATTAGAAGATATTAATGAAGCAAAGACAGTCATTTTGAGTCATCAACTGTTTATGGCAAAATTAAAAATCTCTATCTTAGGTCCAAGTTTTTTTTTTAAAGATTTATTTATTTATTATGTATACAACATTCTGCCTCAATGTATGCCCACACGCCAGAGGAGGGCGCCAGACCTCAGTATAGATGGTTGTGAGCCACCATGTGGTTGCTGGGAATTGAACTCAGGACCTCTGGAAGAGCAGGCAGTGCTCTTAACCTCTGAGCCACCTCTCCAGCCCTAGGTCCAAGTTTTTAACAAAAAATTAATTCAATTAATTTTTTATCCCTGGGATCTAAAAGTTGAAAAGAAAGAACCCCCTGAGTCTTGAAAATTGTCCTCTGATCTTCACACATAGGACACACACACACAAATAGGTGTAATAAAATTTTAAAAAAAAGATTAACAGTTCCGTAAACAGTCTTATAGAGATTTTTGTGAGAACAGTTTCATTTTCTTACATCAAGTAACTAGAAGTGCAGCTGGGTGGTGGTGGTGCACACCTTTAATCTCAGCACTGGGGAGGCAGAGGCAGGTGGCTCTCTATGAGTTCGAGGCCAGCCTGGTCTACAGAATGACTTCCAGGACAGGCTCCAAAGCTACACAGAGAAACCCTGTCTAGAAAAACAAAAACAAACAAACAAATAATAATAATTGTAAGTGCAGTTGATGGTCAGATGCTAAGTGTGTCCTGAGTGTTGTAAGAAATGGCCACATTTCTAGACCAGTTGGCCCATCTTTTACCTACTGAGCTGTCCCCATGGCCCAGCAGTTGTATTCTTAACGGGCAAAGTTGGAAACAGTCCAAATGTCCTTGAATGCATGAACTGTGGTATAGCCACACTGTAGATTATCACTCAGCAATAAAAACAGTGATGAATGTTAAAGAAATTGTGCTGAGGGAAAAAAACCCCACAGATTTCAAAATGTATGATTCTATTTATATAATATGTTTGAAATAACAAAATTAGAGGGATGGCGTGGTGAACATATTAGGAGTTGCCAGGAATTATGTTAAGAAAAGGAGGTGACTGATGATAAAGGCTACCAGGGGGACTCTTTGCTTTGAGATGGTTGTCTTGGTCACAGGAATCCATATAGGTGGTAAAATTGTGGAGAACTTAAGTTTTCAGATTGAGAAATGGATGCTTGCTAAGTTGATGATAGCCGAATGAGCTGTATGGATTGGACTAGTGTCCCTATCTTGCTTTTGATATAGTTATGTTAGACTATTGGGAGAAAATTCTAAGAGGTACTTACAGGGTTTCATGAGACCCTTCTAACATGTTTACATCTCCCTGTGGAATTTTATTTTAAAGTAAATCAAGTATAACAGTAAATGTGAAGGATTATGAATATTTTACCAGACATTTGCATATAATGAAGAATTAAATCTACAGTATGAAAAATAGACAAAATACAAACATCCACATTGTTTATCTTAGAAATATAAGTGAAAATGACTATGAGTTTATCATAATCATGATGTATTTTCAATTCTAGAAAGGTAAATAGTAAGTTGCTTGCAAACTTCTGTATTTATCAGAATTCAAAGGGTCAGAATCATTAGTAAACTATATACACTTATTTTATATATTAATAATATATGTCATTTCCCACTTATTCATTAGAAGCTATTGTCTTCTTTAATTGTAATACTGGTTAATAAAACAAAAGCTGTAGGGCAGGCAACCAGGAAGATAAGATCAGGAAGCTGGAACTCAGGGGCACAGACTAAAGCAGGCGTCCCTGGGTGAACTTTTTAAACTCTCCGTCCAATCCTCTCTGTCTCAGGAAAAACTCAGCCCTGGTTTAAAGGATTTTTCTAAAGAATTCTGACAGGCCACCTACACTATACGAGAAGAGAAAATAATCCCCACTTTTAAGTCAACCGGCCTTTAATTATATTGTCAAAATACCTCCACAGCAACACCTGTATGAAGGTTTGAATAACTGGAAGCTGTAGGCAAACTATATAGACATCAGAAGTTAAAAAAAAAAAAGCAGCCCACAGCTTCATAAAACATGTTTGTTTGCAACTGGATAAATGTGTTGTCAATTGTCTCCTTGCCTTTATTATTTTTCCATATTTCAAGCAGAAATGACACAAATCAATGGTGGTCACCGAGTTTATATACGCAGAACTTTCGAGCTGAAGCGGGGAATTGAAAAGCTAAGTGTGGACGGTGATAGAGCCAGTGCACCTCGCCCTTTCTAGCGCCTAGCGGGGCTGGGACTCCTCAGGGCAGCAGCGCGCGCAGCAGGAGGGGAGGAGAACCCACCTGAAGCACCGCGCCGCGCGTGCGGGAGCCCGAAGTGGGCGGAGCCTCGAAGCCGGTGGCGTTGGCGACTGCGCCCAGCCCGCCAGAAGAGAACGCGGCGAGCATACGGCGGGGAGTCGGTCGGGTAGGGCGAGCGCAGCCGGCGGTGTGTGTGTGGGGGGGGGGAGTGGCGGTGGTGAGGAAGGAAAGGGAAGAGGCGGAGCGTGGGAGCGCACAGTGTCAGGAATACAATAGTGCTCCGCGCCTCCTCGGCCGCCGCCGCCCAGCAGCCTGCCCAGGGCTGAGGCCTGACGGGCCAGGCGGCCAGGGCGGAGGGCGGGAGCTCAGCGCTAGGGGGCGGCCCCCGTGGCGGCTCCCGAGGCTCGGGCGGGAGGGCGGGGTGAGGAGGAGATTAGGGGGCAGGTGCGAGGGAGGGAAGAGAAGAAAGCGGGCGGCTAGGGGGCGGTTACCACCCTAGCCGGACTCGCCCGGCACGTTGAGGGGCCCCCGAGTGCGGCAGGAAAGGAGCGGAGCCCGAAGCGGCGCCGAAGGTAGGCGCTCCCGAGGGTCGCCGCGGCCGCGGCAGCGAGGTTGTGGGCGTAGAGCGGCTTTGGCGGCGGGAGTGGTGGCCTCGAGGAGTGGGACGAGGGCGGCGTGGAGCTCGGGGTCCCGGCCTCGCCGCGCTCGGGGGAGCTCCAGTTCCACGAAGCGGTTGCCTCCGGTGTCCCCCGAGAGCCGTGGAGCGGAGAGCGTGTGTGGGCTGAGGTAAAGTGCCCAGTCGCCCCTCTGCTGGTGGCGCGCCGTGCCTGGTGGCCCGAGCTGGGGGGTGGGCGGGGGGGGCGGACACGGACACGCGAGCTCGGCTGCAGCCTCCGGGCCACCTCGGAAGGCATTGAGCGCCATAACTGTGGCGGCCGTTCCCTCAGAGTCCCCTCCCGGCGCCCCTTGCCGTGCCTGTTCCGTGCTGTCGGGACTCGTGGGGGCCAGACCTCGGGGCTAGAGGGCATGCTCTTTCTGCCGCCTGCGGCTGGCCAGTCCTAGCAGCGAGAGGGCGCACCCTGGCTGTTTGAGCCTTGCCGAGCGGGAAGACACCGAGTGTCTGGAGCGGGGAAGACCGGCAGTGCAGGGAGCAACCCGGCACCCCTACAGCCCAAATGCCAAGCTAGCGGGAGCGCGGGCGCCCTGCCGGCTGGCGGACGGCGAACTTTCCTTTATCCCGTCATTGTTAGGACCCTGTGAGTGTTCGCAGCAGCCTAGCGCCCTGCGGTCCTGGGGGTGCGAAAATCACCAATCACGGGGAGATTTTTCTGCCACCGGGCATGGTACAGTTGTTAACTTTTTTCCAGCTCTCGAGTTCGTTTTTTATTACCTCCTCTGAGGGGGGCACATTTATTTGTTTGTTTGTTTGTTTAATCTTACCATCTTTTCCTCCTGCGTTTCGGAGCAGAGCCTTGGCTTTGGTGGAGACTGGTTTTAAATTACTTCGGGCAACCTGCGTTCATTATTTGTCAGGAAGAAAGTGGAGTGGGCATCTCAAGTGAGTGTACTTAATGGTAGGATGTGAAGACGTGCTTAACAGTTTCTCTCTGTGCAGCCCTAGGACTTGTCGCTTGTAGGGATTTGGCACTTGTTTGGCTGCTCCATTGGCCTAAGGTACAAGGAAATACATGTCCTGAGATGTGTGTCGACCCTCACCCACCTTGTGAGATGCACTCTTTTCTGAAGTTGAGGATGAGACCCCCACCCTCTGTCCTCCACAGATGGTATAAGAAATCAAAACCTTAGTGACAGTGATTCCAGTGACCTAGAGGGAAAAGAGACCTCATTCCCTGCATTCAGTCACATAAAGATAGCTGCTACTCTCTAAACTCGGAAAAGTAATGAAAAAAATAGGTAAAAACTGGTTTCACCACATCGTTGCCTAGTTCATGCTAACCAGAATCCACTTTCCCAGTGTACTTCTTAAATACCTTGCCTGCAGCCACTTCTTGTCTGCCCTGGGGGTTGGAGAATGGGGATGCGGGAAAGAGCAGAGTCCAGTTGAGACAAAGCATTATGTTTTTTTAGTTTAGTATTTCTATAACATATGTAATGGTGGGAACATAGAGTCTGGCCTTTGTACCCTTTGAATAGTGTAGTTCTTACACATTATATGATGACTCTGGATAAGTATAAACATATTTTTCTGTTTAACATTAAGAGTGTCCTACTTCCATAATTATCATTTTCTTTTCGATTTAAGGTGAGCTCTGAGTTTAAATACTTGAATTATTAGAGGATGAATTCTTACTTCAAGGATTACAGAAGTTGGAGGAATGCTCTTCATATTAAGTTGGGGAGTGCACAGTTCATATTAAATTCCCAACATTGGGTACCATCATTGCCACCTTTCTTTCACTTGTGTCCTCTGTACACTTCTGTTCACTAGAGAAGAGCTCTTATTCCAGCTCTTATTCCAATACTGTCACCTTAAAAGAGTTTCTCACATTTTTTAGCCAGTTAGTTCTGGAATAATATAGGTTACAGCTAATTCCAGAATCCATACTTAGTTTTCTCTTTACTGAATCAGACCATGGCAGTGTGGTATATGATTCTTGTCCAAAGTGAAGGGGCCAGGAATGACTTGGAAATAGCTTTCAAGGCACTTGTGAACCACTTTCTGGCTTATAGAGGAAAGTCCCAGGACCATCACAACTGATGATTCTGGGGCAGTTATTACACCCAAGACATATGAGTTAGTGAAAGCTAAAGTACAAGAATGTCAGATTTAGTACGGCCATCTACTTTAATAATGCTTGCCTTTCCTCTCTGTTGTGTTCTACCAACCATAGCAAATGTTTGTCCTCTAAGCTATACAAAGCCATCTCTTCTTTTTTTACTTTGAGGTCTAAATGAAACTAATATTTTGGTGGTGGTGAGGAAATCAGAAGACATCAGGTGTTTGTGTAGATGTGACATTAGAGAGCTCTTAGAAGCTTTGATAGGAATGCAGAGAGAGAGGCTAAAATGAGGTTGAATATTATCATGGGACACAATGTACCTACCTCTTCATGGAGCTTATAAAAAGTAGGAACTGAAGAAGATAGAATTGATAGTCTGACTTATATTAAGAAAATCTCTCATTGGGATAATTTACTGTGATCTTTGCTTGCCTCACTTTTTTAGGTGAGAGGTGGGTGTTGAGTGATACCCATCTGGCACTATCCTAACCATAATTTTTGGTGTTGAAAATTGAACCCAGAGTCTTGCACATACTCAGCAAACATTCTACTACTGAGCTACCTACCCCTTACCCTGATACCCCTATAAAGTGGGGACATTTGGCTCATTCATAAGTTTATATTGTTCTGGTTACTGTGGATGAGAAAGCTAAAGCATTCTCAGCTTTATAAAGGTTTTCAGGGTGGGGAGAATCTAGGATGGGTGGTTTAGAAGTGATGAATGAATAAGAAGATGCTAGCAGGTGATCATTATAGACCAAGTAACTACTGCTTTAAATTTTCTGGTTTTGTGACTCCCCCATGGTTATTGTTTTGTCCTTTCTGTAGGGCTATCTATAGACAACAGAAGCAAGGTTCCTACAATCAAAAGTGCTTCTGTGCTTAGTCTTTGGATCTAATCTTCCAGACTTGGGAAAGGAAAGGTAAGAACTCAAAATGCTGTTTTTCTGAACATGAGGGGATGTCCTTGTGGGTACTGGGGGATTCTGATATGCCCTGAAGAAAAAGGATCTGTCAAGGGGGAATTAGTTATACTGGGACTTTGGCAAGTAGAAGGCATCTATGATATCATAAGTACCCTTCAAACTACAAATAATTTTTCCATTCCAACTCATAAGCCACAGCTATGCCCCACTACCCATAAAGGTCATTTTCTTCTGATACCTGCTGATGGGCAAAAAAAAAAAAAAAAAAAAACAACAACCCACAAACCTAAGCTAGTGTCGCTTTTTTGTTAGTTTGAGACAGGGCTTACTGTGTAGCCCAGACTGACTTTCCTACTCATGATCCTCCTGACTCAGCCTCCTGAGTGCTGGGATTATAAAGTATGGGCTAATATGGTTGGCTAGAATGTTGTTTTTGGACTAGCTAACAAGAAAATGTGATATCAGCTTGACTTATACACTGAACCCTTTGTGCTGAAATCTCCTGGGGAACTTGCTGGTATTATTCCTTTTTAGATTTTGAAAACTTAATTTTTGATAAAATATTATAATTTTAAAAATGTTGCAAGATTGGTACAAAAACTCACTGTATTCCCTTTATCCAAGGTCACTAGTTATCAGCCGTTTGCTTTCATTTGCTCTTTCTGTTTCTTTTTACAAATCATTTGAGGTAACCACTGAAAGAGTGGTACTTGTCAAGGCCATCCTGTTGTGAAGAGTGTCTCAGATGCAACCATTGGTATAGCAGAACATTGGTGGTGGGGCAGGGCCCCAGAGGTAAAGTCTCACTGTAGCTACCAATCATATGTTTGTAAACCAAGTTTAATCTCTGATACTAGATAGAGAAATCATGACCAATGGTAAAAGTATTTAAGATATCCTCTCCCTTTCACTGTTCTTGTTGTGTGCTTCCCTATGTCAAATTTTAGTACTATGAAAACTCTCAACTTTGTGGTCATTAATATAATTTCCACTTAATTCATTCAGCAAACATAGTATTTCCTATTTGCTAGGGCTATAAAGGGAGAAATATACTCATCCCCTTAAGTAAGAGCTTAATGTCCAGTGGAAAGAATTTGAGGAATCTTTTCAGCAGTTAGGAGGAGGAATGTTCTGCTGATGGGAACAGAGGCCTGGTTAAGGATCTGAAGAGTAGATAATAGATATCTGGGAGTCACTTAACAGTATGTTAACTGTACATATCCATCTTTAAGGCCTTCTGCTCTTAGATGACAAAGTCCATGAGTTAGGGAATCCTTTGATGTCATATATCCACTACAGGCAATGGAATCAGGCAAACTTGGACTCATATTCTGCTCTTCCACTTGATCTTGGCTAGTTTACTTCTCTGTGCTTCAGTTTCTTCATGTGCCAAATCATATCTTTGAGGATGGTGGTGAGAATTTAGTTGAAGTAATATTTGCTCTGTAACCTTTTATTTCATCTTCCCTTACTCCCTAAAATGCTGTTTGTTGGAAATAACATTTAAAGTGTTGGGTATTAAGGTAGGATCCAAGGGACTATTTTTTTCAACAGATAATGTCTGACTAGTAGTTCTAGGAAAGACAATGGCGATTACCTTATGGAATAATAAAAATAATAGCAACAGAGATTTGGTAACAATTTTCTTTATGTTGAGCACTGGATAGCTCTCCGAGCAGAGCATATCTCTCAGACATGTGAATCTTAAAATGGTGAAGCAGAGCCAACTTGTACAAGGTCACACAGCGAGAAAAAGATAGAATTAATTTTTCTGTGACTGAAACCAGTGGAGTATCCTTGGAGCCTCGAGAATGAATAATAATAAATAAGGTAGAGAGAAGAGATTGCCAGGCAGAGGAAATAGCAGTTGTTGTGACAGCATTGAAGTGGGAAAGAGGAATAAAGGATTCACACAGGTTTGGTTGGATCTGGGAAAAATTGACAGGCTTTGTGGAATTTCATTAAAGAGCTTGTGCTTTATTTCAAAGATAGGCAGATGCTTCTTAAAGGTATTAAACTTTTCCTAAATGGCATGTGTGTGTACTTCAGAAATGTATACAATGGTGCCTAAAAGAACTTTAAATCATTTCCTCAGTGTTCCCCCTTTCATTCCAACAGAGGTGATATTTCTGTATAAACTTCCACCAAAATGTTGATAGATGACTTTTACTATCTTCTGTGAGTATTGGTAAGAGATGCCATGATGCTAGAAGATGCCACTTAAGAATGCTGGTAGGAAAGGGTTTGTTTTTTTGTTGTTGTTGTTGTTGTTGTTTTAGATTTATTTATTTATTATGTATACAACTTTCTGCCTCCATGTATATCCACACGCCAGAGGAGGGCGCCAGATCTCATTACAGATGGTTGTGAGCCACCATGTGGTTGCTGGGAATTGAACTCAGGACCTCTGGAAGAGCAGACAGTGCTCTTAACCTCTGAGCCATCTCTCCAGTCCCAGAAAAATGTTTAATTAGGCTCATATCTCTTGCATTTTAGGCTTCATTAAGGGAAATTGTTCAGTTTTCATTAAGCCTGCAAAATAGATAAACAGTTGGAATTAAGAGGAAAAGTAATTTCTGGAATTCTAGATTTATCATTACAAGTGGAACTGTTGAGTATAAGGCTTTGTTTTAAATATATCATAATTAAGATACTTCTGTGACTAAATGGAAATTTGTCATTTTTTTTATTTTATTTATTTATTTATTTTTTTTTTTTTNATTTTTTTTTTTTTGGTTTCTCGAGACAGGGTTTCTCTGTGGCTTTGGAGCCTGTCCTGGAACTAGCTCTGTAGACCAGGCTGGTCTCGAACTCACAAAGATCCGCCTGCCTCTGCCTCCCGAGTGCTGGGATTAAAGGCGTGCGCCACCACCGCCCGGCTGTCATTTTTTTTAATTTTGTGTGTGTGCCATATGTGATGGCAGACAGCACATTTGTGAGACTTTGGAAGACTGAAACATTTTTTCTATAATATTTTTTCATATTTTCATTCAGGTGGTGGAAGTTTTTATATTTGAAACTTTATGTATAGCGTAAACCTCTTCCTCTTGCTGTATGTGTTGGATCACATACTTTTAAGTAGCCTTTTCTAGTTAGATTTTAGGAATAAGAGAAAGTGCTTAGTTAGTGTGATGATTTAGGGTGGCCTTGCATAGACAACTAGTGTTTGGTAGACTAGTTGCTTTGGTAGGAGACCCTAAGCTTGGATGACTCATCACTCCATGTGGTGGTCTCTTCTAGGTGGCTAGTCTGGACTTATTAGTGTAGTAGTCTCCGAGTCTCAAAAGAGAGAAGCAAGTAAAAGCAAGCACCAGCCAGTACACAAGTACTTTTTTCAAGTGTCTGCTCCTGTCACATTTGCTAATATTACATTGCTAAATCACAAGAATGCTTTCGTGACCAAGTCCAGAGACATTGTGGGAGACCATTCAAAAAGTGGATATAAGGAACTGTGAACAAATTGGGAACCTTTACAGCAATTATACATAATTGGTAATGAGTGAAAAGCTAGAGGGAGGCAGTGTGGTTTTGGAAGGAGATATGCACACAAATGGGTCAACTGCTCTCTCATCTTAAACAACTATTATCAAAGGAACTCCTGGGTTTCCTCAACACCCATTCAAGTTTTATCACAAAATTCTTGTGTATTATGTTTTGTAGTTATGAAAAAATACTAGGGAATCCACCACCATGCAATGAGAGGAACATTGGCAATTTTGCCTTTAGCTCCTCGCCCTTTTCAAAATAATTTTTACCTAAAAGAAGAAATGCTTATTTGGGCATTATAATAAGGGCAAAGGATTCTTTGTAACTATGTTTTATTTATTCAAATTTTGAAGTATCCCTGTGGTTGCAGTGAAGAATCCAGTATTATATTGTGGAGTGGTCAAGATCCATCAGTGTGAATCATCAGGCTTTGACCTTTGTTCTGGAAGACGATCTCAAAGGTAACATTCTTTACATAACATAGATTTTTTTTTCAACAACTTGCAGGATGAAATTCATTATATAAAAATATAATGGTCTTTAGAAACATGGGGAACTGAGTAAAATGCTCATTTTGTGTATTGTAGGGGTTATGTATTTCTCCTGAAAATTGTGCAATGATATAATCTTAGATTTTATTTCCTCCTAAGACAAAATTTTAGAATTCCTGATATTTAACTCAGTAACTTGAAAAGAGCTGTCCATATTTATAAACATAACATTTGACTTAGCACTTTACCCAAGAATTTATTCAACAAATACTTAGAAGTTACTTGGAATATTGCCTATAGTAGCAGAAAATCGGTGATATATTGAGTATCGGTCAGGGCTTAGTTTGACAAGAGTATTACACTATATATTGTGTAATCTCTAGTGTATAGAATTAGAAAAACCAAAAAACAGTAGAGGAGGTGTTGCCATTCATGTAAAATAGATAATGAGTTGAGGGCAAGAAAATACATATATATATTTGCTTACATAGACACAGAATTTCTGAAGGGCTTATTAAGGTACTGACAGTTTGGTGGCCTGGACTAGTGGTTGAAAATGAGACTTTTCATTGCATAAGCTCTAATGTGTACCTTTTGAATTTCAAGATGTGTTGTTTATTTTCCTATTTCAAAAATTAAATGTTTTTAAAAAGAGACCTGATATATAGTAATGGGAACTCTCATGGTTTCCTTCCCAACTTGACTTGATCACATCTATTCTTGTACCAAAATATATATCTAGCTCTTAAGGGAATGGAACATAATAGGCATGAGGATCAAGAAATCAAGGCCAACCTGGTCTACATAACAAGTTCAAGAACAGCTTGGACTATATGAGACCTTGCCTTAAAACAAAGAAATATGTGTCCTTTAAAAAAACAGACAAACAAAAATGGTGCATACGGTGACTCTGGTAAATTTTTTCCCCTAGAAATGCTTCTGGCTTTTTCTTGTGGTGCTGGGTATTGAGTCTGTCTGGGGCTTTCCTTGTACAAGATACATACTGAACTATACCTCTAGTTTTGAATTACATGTGTGTAAGCTAGAGGACAACAGGTGTGGCAAATATTAGCTTATAGGTCTTTGTGTGAGTATAAGTTTTCAGTTCCTTTTGGATAAATACATGGAAATGGAATTGCTGATCTTTCTCTGACAGAAGTGGACCAACTGTCCTCTAAAGTGGTTCTACCAATTTGTATTCCAGTAAGCCATGAAAGTGAAATATGTGTTGAAGTTCATTTTCCCACATATGTGATATTTTATTGAACCATTTGTTGAAAAGTCTATCTTTTATTTATTAAATTGCCTTTGCATCTGTGCATCTGTTCCTGAACTGCTGTGCTCGTGAATCTGTGTGTCTTAACCATTTTTCCATTAATTATACTACCTTTTTTTGCAGTGCTGAGGGTAGATATCATTACCTAAAGTATGCTGGGCAAGTGCTCTACTGCTGAGCCTCATCCCCAGCCATGATACACTATGTTAACACACTTTCTTGAGTACTGTAGTTTTGTAGTGAGTATTGAAATAAGTAATGTTAGTATTCTGACATTTTTCTTCTCCAAAGAATTGTAGTGAAAAGGGAACACATAACTTGTTCCCATCTCTCATCAATAATAACACTAGCTTTAGAATTTTGGTTTTGTTTTATAATTATGTCTTTTTGTGTAGAAAGCAATTTTTCTAGCATGTGTGAGGCTGCTGTCTTAGAAGACTTGCTTGTAAAATTGGCCTTTGACTAATAGATGGAAAATTGACTTCTTAAACATTCAAAAATAAAATGTCATACTCTACTGTCATTTTTTCCTCTCCAGTCCTTTTTATATCTTTTGTTAATTCTAGTTTTCAAACTTGCTTAAGTAATTTTCTTTAGCTAGTCAGCATTCCAGCATGGAGGGGAAGTGTTGAAATAGGAGCGGCAGGGCTGCGTCCCCGGCACCCGGCCGCCCGCATGGCTAGGTTATGCCCAGAAATAACAACACACAAACTGTATTCATTTAAACACTGCCTGACCCATTAGTTCCAGCCTCTTATTGGCTAGCTCTTACATATTGTTCTAACCCATTTCTAATATTCTGTGTAGCCCACGAGCTGGCTTACCAGGGAGGATCTTAACCTGTGTCTGTCTGGAGTGGGAGAATCATGGGAACTCCCTCGACTCAGCTTCTTTTTCCCAGCATCCTCTTCTGTTTACTCCACCCACTTAAGGGTTGGCCTATCAAGGGGCTTAGGCAGTTTCTTTACTAATAAGAAATCACTCCCACATCAGGGAAGCAGGGGTTCATAAGCTTCCACTTGTATTGGAATGATAGCTATTGAGAATGATAGCTGCTGGGAAAAGGAGAGTCAGTTTTCTTTAGGAGTATAGTCCCTAATAGATTATCCATGCTTTATATGGACAGCACAAATTGTACTTTAAGTGAGTTAGTTTTCAAAAAGCATATGAAGTTGGGAGAGAGGTGAGGGTGGATCTTGGAGAAGTTAGATGGATGGATCAAAATACATTGTATGAAATTCTGAAATTCTCAAAGAATTAAAAATTTACATTAAAATAAAATATAATCTTAATGAAAAATTTCCTTTAACATTTTTAGGGTAGGTTGGATGACAGTAAATTCCGTTTTTGTTTGTCTAAGAAAGTTTTCATATTCCACACACTTTATAAGGGCATTTTTTTGGTTTTTTTCGAGACAGGGTTTCTCTGTGGCTTTGGAGCCTGTCCTGGAACTAGCTCTTTGAGACCAGGCTGGTCTCGAACTCACAGAGATCCGCCTGCCATGTGATATAGAATAATTGTTGGAAGAGATTTTTCCTTTCCTTCAATGTATGCTTCCACTGTTACATATCCTCTAGTTAAGTCTTGTATAATTATTATCCTATTATTTGATTCTGGCTTCCTTAAAGGTTCTTTTTTTGCCTTTGATTTTAAGCAGTTTAAGTATGATACACCTAGATATGGCTGTATATTTTTCATATTTATCCTGTTTAATATTCTCCAAGCTTCTTTTTTCTGTGCTTTATGTATGTAATTTCTCAGCCATTTTTTTTTTATTTTTCAAGACAGGGTTTCTCTGTAAATTTGGAGCCTGTCCTGAAACTTACACTGTAGAACAGGCTGGCCTTGAACTCATAGAGATCAGCCTGCCTCTACCCCTGCGCAGCCCAGTACTAGGATTAAAGGTGTGTGCCACCACTGCGCCTGGCTTTCAGCTGTTATTTTTTTAAAATAAGTCTATGTATTTTGCCTTTTTTGTTTGTCTAGGATTCCAATTCCAAGTTTGTTGTACTGTTGGTGGCTCACAGTTCTTGAATATCGTATGCTGTTTTTCTTTTTTATGTTTATTTTTGCCTGCATGTATGTCTGCACCACATGTCTGCAGTGTCTGTGAAGGCCAGAAGAGGGTGTCAGGTCCCCTGGAAATGGAATTACAGATGGTTGTGAGCCAGCATGTTGGTTCTCTGTCCTTTGCAAGAGCAGCAAATGGGTTAAACCACTGAGCCATCACTCCAACCCCTTCATGCTGGTTTTTTTCTTCCTTTTTACCCTTTTGTTTAATTTTTGTGGTCTTTGAACCACTGCGTCATTACTCCAGCCCTTTGTCCTCTTTTGTTTTAATTTTTAATGGCCTGATCAATAAACATGACCTTCGAGTTCATTGATAATTTTCTTGGCTGCATCAAATCTACTGTTGAGCCCACTGGGTTGTTGTTGTTTAAACTTTAGTATTTCTAGTATTTCTAGTAAATATAGTTTTTCTCGTAGGTTCTATTTCTTTGCTGAAGTTATCTATCTGGGCTTACATATTATCTACTTTATTCATTAGACGTTTTAACAAATCATAATTATTTTATGTTTCAGTTTTTTATAGTCCCAACATCTGTACTACTATGTTTGGACCCAGTAACTTGGGGGTATTTTCTTACCTTTTGATACACCTCATTGAACATCCTGAAAACTGCACATGGGCAAGAGATTCTGATAAATTTTTAGTAGTTGGAAAGCTCTGATTCTTTTTCTAGGTCTTTAGTGAGGAGTTGGCCTGTTCCGTGTTTTTTGTTGGCCTGGGTTGTGTAGGTGGAAGGCAGGGTAAGGACGCCAGAGAGTTCCTATTCCTCTAGTGAAATTATTTTTAGGGTTTACTTTATGTGGATGAGTGTTTTGCCTAAAAGTGTGTGTGCTATCTTATGTGCTTGGTGCTTGTAGAGGTTGGATTTCCCTCAAACTGGAGTTGAACATCTCTGAACCACCATGTGGTTCCTGGGAACTGAACCTGGGTCCTTTGTAAGAGCAGCCAGTGCTCTTAACTGCTGAGCCATCTTTCTAACCACCATAACTTCATTTTTACAGTACTTGATTTGGGTTGTCCATTGTGATGCTTTCCAAAAGTAGGTTTTTATAGTTTTTCCAATTGTATCCCACTGTTACTAGTTAGATGGTATGTCAGGTGTGGTTGTTCGAGGAGAAGGTGTTCTCTAATTATCTGATTGGTCAGGTTCTAGTGAACCTGGGTCTTGAGTGTGTTTCTAGCAAGGTTACCTGTTCATTCTTCTTGTGTAGGGCTTCCTTCTTTTTGTTCCAACCCCTTACCACACCCCATTTGGTATACTAATGTTCTCCTCCCTGAGGATTTATCCCTTTCCTCTGTACTAAATATTAGAGAACGTGGTCTGAGTGAGTTTCACGGCAGACTGTTGCAGTCAGCCAGCCAAGTACCACTACAGGAGCTTTCTCTTAGATTTTCCCTTGTCTTCACCATGAAAGTCTGGTGAGATTCCTGTAGGAAAAGCTTTTTAAAGGGGTAGAAACTACTCTGTGGAACACAGGAGTTTCACAATATGGCTAATCATAGAATTTTTGATTCGGAATTCTTACAGGCTTATGTGCCCAAACCTGTATCTCTGTAGGTTCCTGGTCTCTTTGGATATGAGAGTGGTAATTTGTCCTGCAACTTCACTTCCCTGCCAGATTG